TAATCACAGGTTGAAATAGTTGAAAGGGCCATGGGTTATCACCCAAGCTTTTGTAAAACAAATTAGCCAGGTTGTTTTGTCCTTGGGAAGTTAAAGGGAGCTTAGCTCACCCCCTTGATCCTTGTGGGAATCATTGGGATCTTCTTTCCTTAGGCTACTCCATGCACCAGAGCGGGGCTTATTACTGGTTATGAAATCTAATGGGACAGATGTGATTCTCTCTGTGTCTCAGCTTTTTCATCTATAAATAATGAAAATAATAGTATTGATTTACTGATTACTGTGAGAACTAAATTAGTTAATATTAACAAAATGCTTTAGACTAGTGCCTGACACATGTAAAAAAGCCTTATCTATTTGCTATTATCATTTCTCTTCTTGTATTTTTTTCTACTGACTTTTTAAAAAGATATTTCAGTGCTACTTCATTCATTCTGTCACAACTGTTAGAGTTTTTCATTGATAGATTTTAGCATCAGAAAATGTCTCCTCTTTTCCTGGTTGGAGATTTTCAATTTTAATTCTCTGTCTTCTATTCCAGTTGTCAGTTCTGTTTTTGTGTTTGTGTTTGCTTGATCTTTACCTTTATTTTTTTGTGTAGCTTTTAGTATATTCCTTTGCTTTACCGGTTCTTTTATATACAATGAATGTTTGAGATTCTTTTCTTTTAATCTGTGGAGAAGGAAATGGTAACCTACTCCAGTACTCTTGCTTGGAAAATCCCGTGGACCGAGGAACCTGGTAGGCTACAGTCCATGAGGTCGCAAAGAGTTGGACACGACTGAGCGACTTCATTTTCTTTCTTTCTTTTAATCTGGGGATTATAATTTATTTACATTTGATGTCATTTAAAATTCTTGCTCTTAATTTCAGGATTTTTTTTTTATGGGATTATGCATTTCCTTTTTCTTTTTAGTTTTTGTATCTTTCTTTGTTTGACTTAGGTCTTGTCTTTTTATTTATTTCTCTCATGATTTGGGAAGTATACTTTGTGAGTCTTCTTCCAAATTGCAATATGCAGGATACAACCCTTGCAATTCTATGCAGCAGCTTTCTCTTGTAAACAGAGGGTGGAAACATTACTTTTCCCGGGGATGTGCATGGTCAGCACAGAGGTCTACTTACCCCAAGCATATGGGGAGAAAGTCAGAGACTGACCTGATCTTAGCAATGGGGTCAGCCTTACCTCTGTTCCAGAGATTCCCAGCATTCCCGGCTGCAGCAATGCCCTTCCACTGTGCCAGCTCTACCCTCATGATCATCCATAACAAAGCTCCCCCATCAGCCTGGTGGACCAGGATATCTTCCTGGATATTCCCACCACCATCCTAAAGGGCCCCACTTTCCCCCTTTAGATCGACCTTCAAGATATAATATATTCATCCAGTTCAGAGGCTGAACTGGCAACTCTCCATTGGAGAGATGCCCTTGAAACTGCCTTATCAGCTTATACGGCCCTAGGCTGCCCACTCAGCTCCCACTTTTACTAATATAATAGTAACATACAGTGATGATCTGTTACAAAAAATTGACCATTGTCACCATTTTTAAGTGTGCATTTCAGCAGCATTAAATATATTCACATTGTCGCACAATCAATCTGCAAAACCATCTTGCAAAACTGAAAGTCTGTATCCATTAAACAAAACCTCCTCTGCCCCCACAGGACCCCAGCTCCTAGAACTGTTCTACTTTCCGACTCCATGATTTTGATGACTCCTGAGTACCTCATACAAGAGGAATCATGCAGTATTTGTCTTTTTGTGACTGGCTTATTCACTTAGCGTAAAGTCCTAAAAATGTATCTGTTGTATTAATAGTATGCATCAGAATTTCCTTCCTTTCTTAAGTCTGAACAAGGATCCATTGTATGTATATCCTACGTGTCGTTAATCTGTTTATCCATTAATGCACATTTGGGTTCCTCTTACCTCCTGGCTGCTATGAACAACGCTGCTCTGAACATGGGGGTGCAAATACTGCGTGACAGCCTTCTGAAGTTGATTGATGATGTAGCTTCTCACACTTCAAAGTCTGCATGGATCCAGCTGGGAGCCTTCAAGTGCAGATTTCAGCTCAGGAAGTCTGAGGGTGGGGCTCTGGGTGTTGCCTTCTGACTAGTTACTCTGTTCCAGTCCCAGTGATCACACTGGGAGCAGCAAGGCTGCAGATTCTCAACACTGGGATCAACCCTGAGTCCAAAGCCCGCTCTAACGCTCACTAACTTCGGAAATATCATCTCATTTTTTCGTCTCCCTAAACCTGTTTTCTCACATAATATGAGAAATAAATAGTGTCTCATTCTTCAGCTTCTTCAGGATTACATGTTCTCAGATATACATGGCTTAGCATCATGACTGGCACACAGCAAATACATAAGATCTGGTGGTTATTTTTACTATTCTGGTACAAATAAACCTGGGTTCACACGCCCAGGAAGAAGATATTTTAACGGGATCCTTGCTGAGACAATTGAGGAGGCAAAGATGCAAAACTGAGTGAGATCTGTAACTATTTATTTTTTTTGTCATCTGGCTCCCTGGTTTTTTGGGTTTTTTTCCACTTCTAAAAATGCCATCTCTCATTCCTGACTGTCTGTCTGCTCCCCCTTCAGGCCACTCCCCACCCTCCCATTACTTGTAAAGTTCAACAAGTGGGGCATTTCCTGGAATCGGTGATCTTGTATCTTCTGACTGAAGCTTGGCAAACAGGAAATCCCTTCTGGACAGAGCTGGTCATTGTCCTCCAATACCCATCTGGGTACCTTTCCATGGACAGGCAGAGGCTCTGGTTTTTGTCTGAAATCGTACTCAGCATTGGGAGACCCTGGAAGGATCTGCGTGCAGCCTCATCGTCCCCTGAACTAGGGTGACATGAGACTCAGGAAGGCAAGACTGTCCCCCGATGAGCCCAGGCCAGATGGGCATATGGGCTGTCAGCATTGCCAGAGATGCATCACGTTTATCATGTTCCTTGTTTTTCAAAATGGGAGAAACCGAGGCTTGGAATGAATGAATGACTTTTCCAGTTAGAGAGAAGAAAAGGCAGAGGGCTCAGTTCTTGGTATAACTCCAACACCGGCCTTCTTGAAATCCAGGCCCCATGACCTGGCAGTCTAACTTTTGGTGCTTAGTCAAATCTGGGTGGCCAAGGGTCTTTGCCCCCACCAGCATCACCAGTGAACAACTCAGAGGCTTCAGTGCTTTTAGTATGTTTTCCCTCCATCTTTTCCCAATGATTATTATTCAGTCACGAAGTCGTGTCTGACTTTTTACAACCCCATGGACTGCAGCACGTCAAGCCTGCCTGTCCCCCACCGTCTCCTGGAGTTTGTCCACTGAATCGATGATGCTATCCAATCATCTCATCCACTGCTGCCCTCTTCTCCTTTTGCCTTCAATATTTCCCAACTTCAGGGTTTTTTCCAAAGAGTCAGCTCTTTGGCCAGCAAGTGGCCAAAGTATTGGAGCTTTACCTTCAGCATCAGTCCTTCCAATGAGTATTCAGGACTGATTTTCTTTAGGATTGACTGGTTTGATCTCATTGCTGTACAAGGGACTCTCAGAAGTCTTCTCCAGCACCACAATTCAAAAGCATCAATTCTTTGGCACGAGGCCTCCTTTATGGTTCAACTCTCACATCTATACATGACTACTGGAAAGACCATAGATTTGACTATATGGACCTTTGTCAGCAAAGTGATATCTTTGCTTTTTAATACACTGTCTAGGTTTGTCATAGCTTTCCTTCCAAAAAGCTAGCAACCCAATGATTACAGGGTTTAAAATAAAAAGTCAGTTATTCTCATGCAAAGCTGTGAATCTTCACTAAACAATGGAGCCAGTAGGCGACAGTTATGTGGAAGCAGCGCTTAATATAGGTGTTCCGTGAAAGTTTCAGATAATCACCATGAAGATTCAAGAAGTAGTTAGAGAGCAGAGGTTCTCAAAAACTGGCCTCCTGTCCATGGATGTGCTGGTTAAAAAAGCAGTTTTCTTTACCTTATTTGAGACCTGCTAAATCTGGTCATGTATGGACGTGAGAGTTGGACTGTGAAGAAAGCTGAGCACCGAAAAATTGATGCTTTTGAACTGTGGTGTTGGAGAAGACTCTTGAGAGTCCCTTGGACTGCAAGGAGATCCAACCAGTCCATCCTAAAGGAGATCAGTCCTGGGTGTTCATTGGAAGGACTGATGTTGAAGCTGAAACTCCAATACTTTGGCCACCTCATGCGAAGAGTTGACTCATTGGAAAAGACCCTGATGCTGGGAGGGATTGGGGGCAGGAGGAGAAGGGGACGACAGAGGATGAGATGGCTGGATGGCATCACCGACTCGATGGGCATGAGTTTGAGTAAACTCTAGGAGTTGGTGATGGACAGGGAGGCCTGGCGTGCTGCAATTTATGGGGTTGCAAAGAGTCGGACACGACTGAGCGACTGAACTGAACTGAACTGACTGAAATCTGATTGGGGGAGGGAAGGGAGAGGAGTCTCATGCTCATGAAGATTAGAAATGCTCTAAAAGAGAGGACTGAAATGTACCTTGATTTTAACCCACAGCTGCCAGTGGCAAGTCATTAATTCTCTAGCGACCCCTAGAAAATGGAGGCAATGAAACCTTGGCCTGCTTCCCAAAGGTGACCTCCGTAGTCACCTTCTCCTGGACTGAGTCCCCCAGCAGCAAGCCCGCAAAGAGTGAACAGAGAAAGCTTCCTGGTGGCTCCCCCTACCTCCCCCAAATCCCAGGGAGGATGGAGGCAGGAAGACAGCCGAAGAGCCTTTCCTTCTGCCCAGGCTCAGCACCAGAGCAGGCCCCCGGGGAAGTCGGGCAGGAACCAGCCCTGTTCATTGACTTTGTTATTTCTTGGTCCCTTCACATCTCGGTGGAGCTGAGATAACCTCACGGCAAAGGAAGCAGCCCCTGGGCTTGCACATTCCAATCATCAGTCATCATTGCTCTGTTCACTTCTTCAAGAACAATTGTGAACTCTCAGATCCCTTCACATTTCCAATGGACTTTAATACCAGTCACTGAAAAGAAGGCAGGGGTGGAAGAGGCAATAGAGAAAGAGACAAAGTACTGGTTAGGAGAGACCAGGTCACCGAGAGGAACCCAGTTTCCCCATGCTGTCCCAGGATATCGCCTGGTGAGATGATGCTGTGCCTGTGTGGATAAGTGCAGACTTAGGAGGAAGGACAGCTGGGTTTGAGTCCCTGATTCTGCCATTTCAAGGCTGTGTGACCTTAGGCGAGTTATTTGACCCCTCTGCGCCTGTGTTTTCTCATCTGTGAAATGCAGATGATAACAGTATCTACACCTTAGATTGTCATGAGGATTAAATAAATAAGCACACACCAAGCACTTAACAGTGCCTGGCACCGGGTGTTGGAGACGTCTTAGGAATTATTCCTCTGGATATCATTAGGATGGGAGATACCTAGGGAAAGAATGGTATAGACCACAGAGGGCAAAACAAGCTCTGTCTCAGGTGGTGCTCCCTGGTGCAGGGGCGGGGGTGGGATTCAAGGTAACAGCCTGGAGGGCGGGGGTTATCTGGTCCCTCTACTGAGACTTAAAGGAAGTTTGAGTTGGGAAACTCATGATAGGAAAACTCACTTGGGAGGCAGGGATGAGCTAGGAACACCGTATCAGGTCAAGGTGAGGTTATAAGCTACAGAACTGGCAGTGAGCCCAGCAGCAAAGGCAATCAATGTCAGTTCTTAAAGAAGCCACACGGTGACAGTAGACGAGCTTTATGGAGATGAAGCAAGTGGTTTATGCAGTCGGGGGCAGGGGGTGTTCTGTGTGAACGGTGCCCCCAGAACAGTGTGATGCCATGTCCCAGAATAGCACTTACTACATCACTAAAGCTATTCTGGTGTTCTACATTGATTAATTATTTGCTCCTCACAACAACCTCATGAGGTAAGCTATTTGTATCTGTATGCTACAGGTGAGTACTGAGGCATAGAAAGGTTAAGAAACTTGCCTAAGGTCACACAGCCATTTTACGGCAGAGCTAGGATTTGAATCAATGTTTGCAGAGTACTTAACTCTTAACCATCATACTATACGATATAACTAATATTTATTAAGAACTTAGTATATTCCACCTTGCAGTTGGCTTAATTCTCGTAACAATTCTATGAGGTTGGCACTATTATTCCATTTTACAGAAAAGAAAGCTGAGGTTCAAAGACACTAAGTAACTTCCTCAAGGTCGCAGGTGAGTAAAGAGCACCGCTCTGTACCCTAGCAGTCTGGCTCTAGAGCTCGGTCTCAAAGCCCTTGCCCCAAAAAGCAACCATAAAACCATCTAGGAGGAAAAGGGCGAGAGAAGGAGAAAATAATTTCTAAACATGCATAACCTAAACAGTCTCAAGGCTGCAGAAATACTGGGGTGGGGACAGGCTGAGTGAGGGCAAAGGAGAGGTCGTGAGACTAGTCTAAAGTGCTGCCCGAATGACTCAGGATTTAAGCCCCAGTGCAATGGAGAACAGCATAATTTATGTTTCTTGACAGGCCTCAAGCTGCAGGAACTCTGAGAGAATCAGATAGGCTGATTTCTTCCGCTTCTGGATCTAGTGACTGGTCTATAAAAAGTCAATGCCAAGGTCATATCTCAGAGGCCAATCCATTGCATCTTCCCTACCCTCCCATAGCTGATAGCCTGCCATCCACAGGGCACAAGGTGTTGACCCAGAGTCAGCAGCCCTATGCTCAGCTTGAACATTCCCGGGCCTGTGAGCAGAAAACCATCATGAAAAGACATCACTAACACTCACTATTTTCTAAAATGTTCTTTCAGCTTCTCCATGAACATGAACTAATGGAGGAGGATCCAGTAAGACAAAAACGAGCCGGTATGTAAACATTTCCTTGACCATCTTTTCTACTAAGTCCCATCAAACAGCATGTGTTGTAACTTTTTGAAACACTGGGATCTACATGATTCAGTCTCCAAGCGGCTCAGGGTTCAATTTCTAGAAGTAACTGCGAAGGCACTCCAGTCTCTGTCAAATGACATTAAAGGGATCTTATCAACACCCTCCATCCAAGTGTCCTCCTTCATCACCACTCCTCGATCCCGAAGATTACCCCATGGCCCTTCCCCCAGCAGCCCTGCACCAACACCAAAAAGCCTGCTTCTCTCCTCTCAACCCAGCAGCCTTGCCTCTTTCTTTTCCCTTTTTCTTTTAATCTTGTCTCCTCTCACTCCTCACTTTGTCTCATGGATCAATTTAACCACTAGACCCAAGTCTTCCTCTGCTTCCTATTCCAATTTCCCCACTAAATTCCAAAGAAGGGGTCTGGGAAACACAGGGCTCTGCCTTTTGGAGGGCTGGGGGCAGGTGAGAGCTGTGAACACCTGCATGATGAGCCTCAGAGTCCCCTTCCCCATGTGAGACTTGGGGCAGGTGTGTATGTCTGGAGGCTGCATTTTCCAAGGACCAGACCCTCCCTCCATCACAACAATCTTGTGAGAGCATCAACTGGATGCTGTCATTTCCCTGCATAAATCTAATCATCCTCTCACATATCTCTGTATCTGCCAGAGTCATAGAGAGTCACAGAGTCAGCATCCCACTCACCACGCTCCCTTTGCTTGTCTGGGAGATCAATTAAAATGGACTCGTGTCTTGGAAGGTCTTCCATCAATTTCCCCAGACAGGGCGGGGCTGTTTTCCTGGGTTCCCATTATCCATGACACATCCTCATGGCCCAACATTTATCCCAATGCATTGCAATTCTTTCGCTTCCTGTTTGCCACTCCCAGGAGGCATGAGCTCCCTTGAACCCTCTTCCTCTCTGTAGCCTGGCCAGCAGCCCAGTGTCTCAACAGACCAGTGAACAAATAAAGAGAAGGTGTGTCTCTGTCATAGCCACTTGTGTGAATTCAGAGGATGTGTTCCTTTTCACCAGGAGTCTGCTGGCTTTGTGGCTAAACCAACCATCTAGAAACCTCTTAACCTGTAGCACTGGGACGAAATGGTTTTCCAGGCATGTTGTGACTTGGTCTGTTCAGTCTTGTGGTATGAAAGAGACATTAGACTGCCAGAGAGGGCAAGCTTTCCCAGAGCCCAGGATAGAGGTATCTGGTAGACCCTTCACTGGGCCATAACCAGATCTGACTGCTACTCAGTGCCTGAAATGAGAATTCAACCACATTGTTAATAAACTATCAAAATGCTCACCGAAAGTTTATACCATTGTTCTTCTTTCCTTCCCTTCCCTTCCTTCCCGTTCTTTTCTGTTTTCTGTTTTAGTCTTGTTTTACATCCCTGTGGCATTCCCACTCACCCTCCTCCTTGCATTCCCTGAAGTGATCCACAGCAGGAGTCCCCAACCTCCAGGATCTAATGCCTGATGATCTGAGGTGGAGCTGATGTAACAATAATAGAAATAAAGAAAAAAGTGAAAGTGTTAGTTGTTCAGTTGTGTCCAACTCTTTGCAACCCCATGGACTGTAAACACCCAGGTCCCTCTGACCATGGGATTCTCCAGGCAAGAAGATTGGAGTGGGGTGCCATTCCCTTCTCCAGAGGATCTTCCCAGCCCAGGGAGTGAACCCAGGTCTCCCTTTGCAGACAGATTCTTTACCATCTCAGCCATCAGGGAAATCAAGTGCACAATAAATGTAATGTGCTTGAATCATTCCAAAACCAGTCCCCCACCAACCCAGTCCATGGAAAAACTGTCTTCCAAGAAACCGATCCCTCGTGCCAAAAGGGTATGGACCACTGGTCTGCAGCGCAGACTGTGCTTCGCGTGCTTAAAACAAGCATCATCACCTCTACTCCATCCCCGACAACCCCTTGAACTCCCCCGTCCCCATGACAGCAACAGGGCCAATGAGGTCCCCAGTCAAATATTTTGAAAGACTTCTCTTCCTAAAATCAAACCATTTGTGTTAAGTCCCAGCTCCAGTCCCTGCCAGCTTCCTCAGGGATGGTTGGTGACCCCACAGCTGGAAAAGTAACATCTTCCTGCACTTCCCGACTATTTGTGACCCTTGGTGACAGCCTGAGAGGTCAGCTGTCAGAGAGGAAACCACTTCCACGTCTAGGAATTTGACATTCCACAGTTTTTCCAGACACGTTTTCATTAAAAACCATCATGGCAATGATAAATCACCATGAAAACATGTTTTCTGTTTTTTCAAATATGTGGTCCTTATGCTCTTGGATCTCTGGAATCATTTTGGAAGTGTTAATGACTCAGCTCATCACCTGCAACAGATGGTTTGGCTTTGGTACTTTTACAAATCACTGAAGCAAGAACTGATCATGGAAAGTCCCAGGCACTAGGTCACAGATACCCAGAATGTAAGCTGCAGTTAAGAGCATCACACCCCAGGAAAACTAGGAAAGCAACGGGAGTGTTAAATCCAACAGAGGCCACACAGGAGTGTCTGTGTTCTGGAGCCTTAATACCAAAAAGAGGCAAACAGAGGTTCCAAGAGAAAAAATTCTCAAAAAGAATTTTCTTTTGAGGCAGTGGACCAAATATTTAGAGCTTTAAGGTTTGAGATAGAAATCACCTTTCAAGGTAGAATCAAGACTCACATTTTTTTCTGAGCTATGGACTTCTTCCTCTATCACCTACCAAAAATCTATCACACATACCCAAATCCACATATAGACACATACCCAAATACACATATAGACACTTACATACAAATATGTGCATGCTTTGTTCCTCAGTCATGTCCAACTCTGCAATCCCATGGACTGCAGCCCACCAGGCTCCTCTGTCCCTGGAATTTCTCAGGTAGGAATGAATACTGAAGCAGGTTACTTTTCCTACTCCAGGGGATCTTCCCGACCCAGGGAACAAAACTACATCTCTTGTGTCTCTTGCATTGTCAGGCAGATTTTTTACCACTGGACCACTTTAGAAGCCCACGTAGAAATCTCCAAATATATTATTACTATACAGGCTGTTGAGAGAACTAAATAACATTTAGTACGTACTGTTCAATATTAACAGTGATATCTAGGGGGTACTTGTTTGTTTTAATGTTTCTTTAATTAAAACAAATTTAATTGCTTTTTAATAAAAATGTTGTGTCTGAAAGAGCCCAAACTATATTTGGTGCAGAGAAGATTTCATATAACTCTTGAAGGCAGAAGGATGGATGCCATGATATTAGCATTTTAGGAAAATTCTTTCAAAACTCTGTTAAGGAAGAGAAGCCTGCACAAAAACCCAGAGGTCAGAGACAAGAATAGTGTAATAGTTCCTGTTAGAGCAGAGTGGTTATTGGGGAGCAGGGGCAAAAAAGCACTAATCAGAGTATTCAGAATTCTGCCTCAATTCCAGCAGGATGTGGATTCCATACCAGCTGAGAGGCTCTCAGAGAGAGAACTGGTGGAAGCCACCGGAAGTGAAAATTTGCCAGATGGTTATGTCTGAAGGAATTAGATGAAGTCAGCTCTGGGAGACCAGAGAGGATGCTCAGCGGTGCTGACCATCATGGGCCAGGTCTCTGGAATGACCTAGGAAGGGGACAAAGGGAACACTTGTGAAAGACATTTTGAGAAATGAATCAAAAGGATCTGGGGACAGGCTTGACAGACGGGTAACAGGGAATACACAGACCTGGGTAACTGGGGAGGTGGAGGCCATAAGTAGAAGCCAGAGCTGGAATAAATATATCCATATTTTGGAAATATGCCAGTCAGCTGGAAACTTAGTCTTTATGGCAATCTTTGCAGGGGATTGAAATCAGAAGTTTCTTGGAACTTCCTTGGGGAGCTAGTGGTTAGGTCTTCACGCTTCCACTGCAGGGAGCGTGGGTTCCATCCCTGGTTGGGGAGCTAAGATCGCACATGCAGTCAAAAACAAATAACTAAAGTGCCTGGATGGACTGATTTAAGAGTATTTTCTAAAAAAAAAGCTTCTTGTTGATTGGAAATAACACAAATGTGTCCTCCACATCAGCTGTCAAGTTCTCCAAGCCAGATTTTTTTTTTTTTTGCGCTGCCCCACCCCCCCAAGCCAGATTTTTGAGGTTAACTGGGAACGTGTCTTGGGTCCTGGGCTGAAGAGTCCACACTGGTTCTTCTTTGACTTCAGAAGAAAGGGCTGGTGGGAGAAGACACTGGGAGAAGAGGAGCCCCAGGATGTCCTGACCCCAAGCTGGAGGCACTGCTGTCTTCGTGCCTGTTCAGGGAGAGCAAGGTTCCTCCCAGGTTGAGTGGCCAGCTGCCAGCTCGGAAATCCTGAACTTTCTGCAGACCTGCAGTCCAGGTGTGCTGGCTGTTTTTGATCTGGGTTCAGGGGATGCTGTGCCTTCTCCAGGCGGGGGAAGAGATTTGAAGGTTTTCCTCGCATTCATCTTCCTTATGATAACTTGTGGCATTTCAGGCTCTGAGCTGGCAGTGATGGTGGCAGAGTAAGGAGAGAAGGCTGTGTTCTCTGCCTGATTGTTTGCTTCCCTATCTCAAAAGTGAGACCTGATGAAAACAGAATGACAGGTTTTGTTGACCTGCCGGCATACATCTGCATAAATGATAATCCTTATTATGATCAATATTATTATTTCTACACATTGTTTCAAAGTGGCTACTATATGCAGGCAGTTTGTTAGGGGTCTTCATACCTCAGCTCCTTAGCAACAGTGGTGCAGAGATAATAGTGCTTCTAATTTAGAAACAGCCAAAACTTGGCTCACAGATTTCAGTAGCATCCCAGGTAACAGGACATTTACCCCAGCTCTGTGTGGCTCCAAGTCCAAGTTCATAGTTACAAGTCATAGTTTTCAATGTATGTTTCTGGCTCTTGTCTGTGAGGTTCCCTGTCATGGTTTGTTTTGTTTTTTAGCAAAAAAATTGTCTCCATCGTGTATTTAGTATGTATTTATTGAGTGCCTATTGGGCACCAAGAATGTAAAACTAGCTGACTGCCTGCTGTCAACTTTTAATCTGGTTGTGAGGATAGGGTATACACTGACCAAAGTTAAAGTCAAAGTTTATAATGTGGAAAGCAGAGTCATCACACAATGGGAGTCTGCAAAAGGCAAAGCTACCGCCAAGGAAGTAGTAGCAGCTACAGGGAAATAGGTCTGAGCTAAATGTAAGTTACTAACAGAACTGACTAATGATGGGCTGGACCACTTACATGGAGGCGAGTTTCGTGTCATGTGAAGTATTCAAGCCAATCTAATAAGTACTTGACTGGAGTGTTTATAGAGGGCATCATGGCATCTGAAGAGTGGTTACCCAGGATGATCTTTAAAATACTCAAACAACTTCACAATGCCTTGATTCTGTGAGTCCTTGGGTCAGTGAGCACCCGTGGGCTCAAAGAGTGACCAGGTTGAGGCCTGGAAGAAGGAGCAGACACAGGACAGAAGAAGGGAGGGAGGTGGGAGCTCCAGGCAGAGGGGAGTCCAGGAGACAGGAGACTGATGTGGTCTGGGGCTTTTTCTTGTGCATATATTGCAGGAGGAAACTGAGATCTCGCTAGCATATTTAGAGGAAGGTTATGTACTGTGATTCTCAGAGCACCTTTATTAACGTGGCACTATCACCACTTTATATGCTGCTGACTTTGATTATTTGGGTGTATAACAAGCTACTAGAATTGACTCCTTTCTTTAGACCTCACAGTCCAGTGTTTTAAGTACTGCCCACCCTCCCTACCCCATCCCATCCGCATCTGCCCCTGGGGTTCTGGCAGTTTTCCGCTGCGTGAACAAACCTTTCCAAAAGCCAAAGGGAGAACCAGGATCTTTGATTTTCCACTGACAATGGTATAGTAGAGCCAGACGACGCTGCCAGACTGTTACCTGCTAGAACATGTCAGGAAACAAGCAGAACAGGTAGCTTTTAATATTTACCTGCTACAGGCCTAAGGGGGAGAAACC